ATATCAGGGCAGTTTTCCTTGATAATTTCTTGAAAGTTGATGTCTAGGCTTTTTTTTTTTTAATTTATGGCCTTCAGGTAGTTCAATAATTTTTAAATTCTTTCTTCTCAAGCTATTTTCCAGGTGAGTTTTTCTTTTTTTCTTTTTTTTTTTTTTTTCCGTTTAGGCAATTGGGGTTAAGTGACTTGCCTAGTGTCACACAGCTAGTGAGTGTTATGTGTCTGAAGCTGGATTTGAACTCAGGTCCTCCTGACTCGAGGGCTGATGTGCTATCCACTGTGCCATCTAGCTGCCCCTCGGTTGTTTTTCCAATGAGCTATTTCACAGTTTCTTCTGTTTTTCCATTCTTTTGATTTTGTTTTGATTGTTTCTTGATTATCTTGTGGAGTCATTAGCTTCTGTTGCCCAATTCTAATATTTAAAAAATTATTTTCTTCAGTGAGCTTTTGTATCTTTTTCCATTTGGCCAGTTCTGCTTTTTAAGGAGTTGTCTCATAAGTGAATTTTTGTGTATCTTTTACCATTTGACCTATCTTGTTTTTTAAGGTGTTACTTTGGATTCTTTTTTGGGCCTTTGACTAATTCACATTTTTCTTTGTATGTAGCTCTTTTGATTTTGTTGTCTTCTGAGTGTTTTGATCTTCCTTATCACCATAGTATCTTTCTATGGTCAAATTCTTTTCTTTTCTTTTCCTTTTTTGTTTTTTGCTCATTTTCCTAGCCTATTTCTTGACTTTTTAACTTTATGTGAAAGTTGGGGGCAGCTAGGTGGTGTAGTGGATAGAGCACTGACCCTGGAATCAGGAGGATCTGAGTTCAAATCTGGTCTCAGACACTTGATGCTAGCTGTGTGACCCTAGGGAAGTCACTTAACCCCAGTTGCTTCACCAAAAAAAAAAAAAATTGGGCTTTGCTCTTGGGGTGGAGGAGGCATTGTCTCAAGCTTCAGGTTTTTGTGCTGCTATTTTCAGAGCTAGTTCTGGGGATCTGTAAGTTTTCAGTTCTTCCAAGGTGGTATGATTTAAGAAGAGGTTTGGTCACTGCTCTCCCGGCCTGTGCTGTGGTATGTGAGCAACCGTAAGCACTCTTCTTAACCCTGGAACTGTGACCAGGGTCCCTGTTTGTGGCAGCACACTGCAGTGGGTTAGTACTTGTCTTCCTCTTCCTGGGACTGACCCGGCACCATGTGTGGCAGTGCAACAGAGTCCTGCACCCAGTGCCAGCAAAAGGTTCCCTGTAATCTCCTTCTGGCCAGTTGTCTGACCCCGTTACAGTCTGTGAGCTGAGAGCTGATGCAGCTGGTTCAAGTGCCCCTGCCAGTGCAGTCACCCTCAAAGCCTGCTGCTGGCTGGCTAGGGTATGTATGGCCTGGCCTGGACTGTGAGTGAGACAGACCTTTCCTGTCCATCTTCCAAGTTGTCTTGGGCTAGAAAATTATTTCACCCTGTGCTTTTGTTGGTTCTGCTACTCCAGAATTCATCTTCAGGCATTATTTTAAAATTGATTGGAGGGGAATTTGGGAGACTTTAAGCAAGTCCTTGCCTTTATTCCACCATCTTGGATCTGCCCCCCTGTTACTATTTTTCTAATTTTTATGGGTACTGTGGGGGGCAGCTAGGTGGTGCAGTGGATAGAGCACAGGCCCTGAAGTCAGGAGGACCTGAGCTCAAATCTGGCCTCAGACCAAACACTTGACACTTACTAGCTGTGTGACCCTGGGCAAGTCACTTAACCCCAATTGCCTTAAAAAATAAAAAATAAAAATGAGTACTGTGATGATAAAATTTTTCTAAAAATTTAAGTCAAAATAAAAGAGAATAGTAGAGCTTGAACTAAATCTTAATACATGGATAGGATTTGGGCACCTTGAAGGAACAACATGGACAAAATCTTAAATGTCTGCAATTAATGTAACATGTTTGTGTAAAAATTAATTTGATTGATGTAATGGGAATTAAGGTTCAATATGTAGAGGCAGGGCCAGATTATGAGAACTCTGAAAGTCAAAGCAAGGAGTTTGGACTTTGTTTTATAAGCAGTGAGAACCCATTGAGCGGTGAAGACTTGTCCGAGGAAGATTTGGAATTAGGGACTGGTAAGAAAAACATTAAAGTGATCTTGACATATTGTGAGGACTCTGTAGACTAGAGTAATGATACCCATGTTGCAGAGGAAAGGATCCATGTGAAGGATATTTTTAAGGAAGAATTGATGGGTCTTGGTATCTGACTTGGTACAACAAAGGAAGACTCCAGTTTGCATGCTGAAGTGACTTTCTACCGTTATTAGAAATGGGGAAGTTTGAGGAGAAGAATGGGGACATGCTTGTTTGAGTGGGAGACAGTCGGGCTGTTTTGGACATGCTCAGTCACAGAATAACCAAATCTCAGCATGGAGCTTGAAAGGTGGATGGCTGTGCTTAGTTGTCAAAAAGCATGCCCAGGTTGCTTTTCTTAGGTGACACGAGCAAGGGCTCACATCTCAAGGCATCTAGAAGAGACCTCCTTTCAGTAAATGTATCCAGTCTTGGGGCTGCTCCTTGAGCGAGGAAGTAGTGGGGCTTGTGTTCCCTGTTCTCTTCCTAGAAGTCCCAGCAGTGTTTTGTTTTGAGGGATCATTTACTTTTTTTATATATAGTCAGTGTTTAATTAATTAATTTATTTTTAGTTTTCAACATTCTCTTCCACAAGATTTTGAGTTCCAAATTTTCTCCCCATCTCATCCCTCCCCCCACCCCAAGACAGCATGCATTCGAAATACCCTTTCCCCTAATCTGCCTTCCCTTCTATCTCCCCCCCTT